CAGCCACCAGATTTCAGATGGGAAGTTGGCATAAGTGTCTTCTACTCTCAGAACACCTTAAGCTTACCTAGGAATCTGGAGCTAATCCTACAACAAGCATAGGTGAAATACTGTCTTCTTGTTTTAGAAAAGATTGGTGCATTTCTGTCTTATTTTTCTTGCACACATATCTCAGCTTAAAGAATTTTTATATAGTGCTGGGGAAAAGGGAAGGGAGCAGCAAATTCTTCCTGATTTACCTCTGGATCTAAGCCCTTGAATTTAGAACAAAAACACTGGAATACCTTTGTCCTCAACTTCTGCCCCTCTGAGGCAACAGAGGACTCACATTCAATGACCTGAATGGGAATGGTCACAGGACAAAAAAAGGATCTGTGTCGTAAAAACATTAGCTAATATTTCACAATATCATATTGCCACATGTGTAATTATTTACACTTTCTAAATGCATTTGGTCAACAAAAAGGACAAGAACCACTGAGAAAACTGTTCACAAATACATCTGTGTGGACTCTATCAGTTAACAGATTGTATCAGTCAGTGTCCAATGAGGAGACAGAAACCACATAGTAAATCCAACAGGGAACGTTTCACAAAAAGAATTATTAATTATAACAGGGGATTTACAATTAATTATAATTAATGTTAAAGGGAGAAGGGAACTATGACAAATGCCCCAGGCCTGAGGGAGAGTACCTGAGGAAAGATAAACTTCGGGGAATGCCCAGTGTCTTTTCCAAGAGCGGGATTCAGACCTCCCTGGAGACAGTGTAGTTGTAGCTGAACGAGCTGATCATACAGTCTACTCCTTCATTATTTGTATGTTGATAACACATGCCAAAAATCAGCTCTGCAAGATAGGGTCATGAGAGAACACAGGCTTTCGGTTTAGAGGCTGACACGCTTTTATCAAGTGTTCTCATGAAATTGAAGAGATACTGATTGTTCCAACATTGTTGGCAGTTAAAGGAATGTTTAACAGGACTCTTAGTGATATTTTTGAGCCTGTGTCAGAGTTGTGTTCATAGAGTCCAGAATTTTTAAATCGTAGAGAAAACTTAGAAATCATCTAGTCCAATCTACTCCATTTATAGATGCATTAATCAGGCCAAGAAAGCCTATGTGACTTGTTCAAGATCATCAACTAATTAATGGCAAGCTGAGATTATTGCCCAGTCTCTTCTTAGTCCCATACTCTTTCTACCCCATGATGTTGGAGCCAACCAGAACGTCAGATTCTGACAAGGCTCCCCATTCCTCCTTTCCCCCTTTAGACATAAATACTCTGAAAAAGAATAGGAATGGTAGTATCAGTGAGGGATAGTGTATATAAGGAAAGACCTTAGATTCAGAAAGTCTTGGTTTCTCTTTTTTCTTTTCTTTTATTTATATATATATTTTTGCCTATAGTACCTTTTATTTCCACACGTTTTTTCTTTTTTTAAATGTTTATTTGTTTTGAGAGAGAGAGAGAGAGAGCAGGAGCAGGGGATGGGGTAGGCAGAGAGAGAGAATCCCAAGAAGGCTCTACTCTGCCAGTGCAGAGCCTGAAGCAGGGCTCAAACCCACGAACTGTGAGATCATGACCTGAACTGAAACCAAGAGTCTGGATGCTCAACGGACTGATCTACCCAGGTGCCCCCAGAAACAGTCTTGGTTTTTCATCTAGTTTTATTACTTATTTGTATTTCTGAGCTTTTAGTGTCTTCAGCAGAAAGCAGGCATAAATTATTAATAAATAATGATAATAATAAGCTGTCTCAGAATATTATTATGAGGGTTAATATGCCTGTCACATAGTAGGTGCTCAGTAAGTCATATGTATTATTAAATGGTTACTTCTTCTCCATAATAGATTTATTAAAGTAACTACCTACGTGCCATAAAAAACCTTTTGTCTTTGAGGAATGTACAGTTGACAGTACTGACACTTTATAATAAATCAGTACTTTTATGTATAAATGAAAGTTACACATCCACCCACATACAGCTGCCTGTTAGAAAAAAAATCTGTTTTTATTAAATGAACAAATGGCAAACATAAGTCAACTCTACACAAATCAATATTCTCTCTCTCCATTCCACAATTTCATTTGGATGCTTGAAAACAATTCTTATGTCTTTAGACACAATATACTTACTTTAAAACTGCCTAAAGTGAAACATAAAACACTGTATTTTAAAAAGCACAATAGGCCCTGGAGAATGAGGCAATCCAAGTGAGGGCAGAGAGCTCTATATGCTACATCCTATGCATAGATGATGGACCCTTCAGAGTCGTAATTACCCAAGGCTCCTCTCCACTGATTAAAAAATGACAAATATTTAAAACTTTATAGTGAACAAAGGGTTCTCATGTGTATAATTTTAAATGATCCCAAGAAACCAAAGAAAGGATGCTATACCCTTTTTATGGCAATAGAAGCAGAGTTACGAAAGACCATCCAGACATTGGTTCATTAGATGACTGAATTTACATTACTGCTGTATTAGTTTGCTAGAGCTGCTATAACAAAGTACCACAAAAAGACTGGCCTAGAACAACAGGAATTTATCATCACATAGTTCTGGAGGCCAGAAATCTGAAATTAAAGTGTTAGCAGGGTCATGCTCCCTCCGAAGGTGCTAGGGAAGGATCTATTCCAGGACACTCTCCTAGTTTTGAATAGCTCTTGGCCTATGGCATCATGACTCCAATCTTCGAATGGCATTCTGTGTGTGGGTGTCTCTGTGTCCAAATTTCCCCCTTTTTATAAGGACACTAGTCATATTGGATTAGGGCCCTCCCTAATGACATCATCTTAACTTCGTCATCTGCAAACACCTTATTTCCAAGTAAGTCACATTCACAGGTACGAGGGGTTATATGAATTTTAGAAGGACACAACTCAGCCTGTAACAACTGCCATATCTTCCTCCTTTGGACCTTGTCTGACACATTGGTGGCAGACAGCATTCATTCATTCGCTCATTCATTCAATAAACATTGGAAAGCATGTGTCAGGCTCTATACTGGGTACTGATGATGCAAAAAACAAACTGGACAGACACCCTGTCCTTGAGAAGCCACAGGTTGGAAGAAATTGGGGACACATTATTACGATAATAAATACTATTATTGAACATATACTTCCTACTAGCTATTAAAGTAGGCACTTTCCATTTAATCTTCACAATAGTATGATAAGTAATGTATCAGAGACACAACTGGGGAGATGGGTATTCATCCGAAATCTGCTCTGGATAACAGGAATATTTTTGCAAATTAGGTAGCAATTCATCTGAGTCTAAAGAGATGTGTAGAAATATATGAGGTAGCTCAAAGGTTGCTGTGGTGAACAGCAAATTCTCAAGAAGAGTATTTTATAAAGGAAAAAAATAGCACGTGTAAAGGTTAACAGACACATCGTAAACTCCACCACGGCTGAGATTTTTTCCTATTTCTTTTCTGTACCTCTAGCACTTTGAACAGTGTCTGGCTCATTCAGTAAACGTTTAATGAACATAAGGGCATCACACGTGGAAAGGAATGACATGGCCTGATGCTCACCGTCGCTAGAAAGGTAGACAAAGGCCCCTTCATGAAGATCTTGGTTACCCACACTAAAGGTAAGAAATCAGGGCTAACAGGTTGATGATGCATAGACAGTATTCAGGTATTCCGCCCTGCCCAGTTCTCCTATTCCCCAGAACACGTCCCAGGGTGCCGCACCACGCGGGCCAGAAGAATGGGGGGGTACGCCAGCTCCACACACTCCAAAGTAGGGTTCTTTGGCCAAAGCTGGATTGGAGCACAAGGTTGGGCTTGAAGTCTAACAGAGCTTCCTACTCGCTTTCTTCCAACTCATCCTGCCCTCACTCCTCGCCAGCCTCTCCCGCCAACTCTTGGAGGACACTCAGCTGTTTTCAGGCCTTCCCGGGATCCTACGGGAGGTATCCCAGAGCGCGCTCCGGACCGCCGGCCGCGCCCTCCTTCCCTCTGGAACGCAGCGAGAGCGCACGCGCGCCATCCGAGGCGAGCGCGCGCTCGCGAACTCCCCGCATCCCCGTGCTCATCCGGGTCTCAAGTCGCTTCAGCCAATAGGGGATGCTCACGGCCTCCGGGGGCGGGGCTAAGCCTTCCCTCACATGGGGCCTGTGGTCACCGCGGGCGCTTGTAGGTGACCGGTCGGCGGAGAAAAGGGGAAGAGGCAGGGAGCCTCGCGACTGGGAGAGGGTCGACAGCTTCGAGATCAAGCAGCTGCCGCCCCCGAGAAGCGACTTAATCGCGAGCCGATTCCTCAGTCAGTGCCGCTGTAGTAAACACACTTCAGAAACGTGAGGTGCCGGGGGTCACGTGGGGAGCGCCCTCTCCAATGAGGAGCCGGGGGCGTGGCCGAGGCCGCTGACGCGGCGGTGGCGGCGGAGTCACCCGGGCAGCCTCGGAACCGGTCACCGGCCGGCAACGGTCCAGGGGCCTCGACCGCCACCTCCGAACTCACTCCTCTTTCCCGGGCCGAGAGACAGCGTGGCCGACTGTGGCTGAATCCCCTCTCGTCCCTCTCGGTGGCTCGCCTTAGGCGGGCCGTTTTCTCCTCAGGGGCCGCCTCGGTGGGGCGAGGTTTCCGTGACGAACCTCCCGGGGCTGCCGGTGCCGGTCGGGGCTGTCGTGGAGGCTCGGGCTCGTGGAACGTGCTCACGCCCCGGGGTCCGAGGCCCTTGAAGCGATGCGCCTCGTCCCGGCGGTTGCGGCGGGCTCTGGCTCGTAAAGGGCGTCACGCCCGGACTCCTCTGACTGGGCAGCCTCCATTCATCTTCCAGCGGCGCCTCCAGCGCCCTTTCCTTCTCCGGTCCCCTCCTCGGACTCATTTTTTCCTTTCCCCCCTCTGCCGCCCTTTCCCCACTCCTTGGGTGTGGCGGTTCCCCTGGAAGCGGAGGTGTGGGTTATGAGCCGGCCCTTCCTTCCTTGAATTTCTCGCTGGGGGAACTGGGCAAGGACCGCCGCCCGCCGCGCCCCCGGGATGGGGGTGAACGCCGTGCACTGGTTCCGAAAGGGGCTCCGGCTTCACGACAACCCGGCCCTGAAGGAGTGCATTCAGGGCGCCGACACCATCCGCTGCGTCTACATCCTCGACCCCTGGTTCGCCGGCTCCTCCAATGTGGGCATCAACAGGTGGCGGTGAGTCGGAATCCCGTGAGAAATGGGTTTCGGTGTTTAATGAATCAGGACTTGACTTGCAGGGGGCAGAATCTGAGAATTTAGACCTGGGGCGGCCGTACTTAGGCTGTTTTAGAATTAAGGGCGTCTTGAGTACTAAATAGAATTGACTTAATAGTTCTCTGGCCGGAGAGTGCTGGCAGCCTGGAACACCCTGGCCCTCCTGTGTGAGTTGCATGCCTCTGCACTAATGGGAACTCTTCCCCTGATTTTACGGGGAATTCTTAGCGGTGGAGGGAAACAAACACCCAGTTCGCAGTGGCCCATGGATTGCTTTTCTTGGCCTCTTTGTGGCATTCGGAAGGATTGCGGCTTTGGGTGTTAACGTGTGTGTGCGTTGAGGTAACTCATAGTGTGAAGAAAATCGTTCAGTACAGGCACCTCCAAATCCACTTTTCTTCCACCTTGACGTTGCCGTAGGAAAAGCAAGGGAAACATTATCTGGTTTTCTTTTGCTCAGCTCTTCCTCTCAACTCCTCCTTGTGGTTGACTAGACAAAGCACAGTTTTTCTTTCTAGGCAAAGTATAAAGCCTTCTAGGGATCAGAGCACTGAAAGAAATCTTAGAGAAGCTTTATGATCTTTCCCTGAAATACCAGGTTAGATGATTGTTAGCCC